AATTAAATCCGAATGAGAATTTTTAAAGAGAAACAGGGGTCCTTCCCAATTCATATACTGAAAAGCATTGAGAAACCATGTAAATGCAGATTGAAATTCATGAGCAATTCTTTTAATAAAAATAATATAGTCTTATGAATTTTTCATAAGAGAAAGATTTAAAGAATTATATATAAGGATAGCACTTTTCAAAAATCACGCTTATTTTCACACACACAAATGAGTTTTCCAAATCACACAATGGACATTCAAATAAAATAGAAAGATGAATGCATTCGAAATGCGTAATAATAACAAGTGCTTAAATGAATAGAGAAAGAAGATGGCACATACAGAAATGAAAATAATTTTGTTAAACGGGCGATTTTTTGTTTGTTTTGTTTCATAATACATATGAAAATATTAATTCTTATTGTTTGAGTGCATTTTCTGAAAAGTAGATAAACGAAAAATTATAAGAAGCTTGTTAAATTGTACATTTATATATTTTTGAAAAATCCCTTTTTCGTAATTTAGGTCAATGTTTCTAGAAGAGTAGTTCCCAAACTGTGTTCCGCAAAACCCTGGGTTTCCATGAGGCATACCCAGGGGTTCCACGAGTCACAATGAAAAAATCATTCAAAATGGGGATTCACGTTCTTTTTTAAGTTTATATAGTTACAAGTATCTATAGCTCACTCTACTCATTAAAACTGAAAATTTTATTTATATATTTAACTTATTTTACTTTTATTGTTTTTACTTTAATTTTATTTATAATAACTGTATTATATGCAACACTTTTTAAACTTTTATTATTGTATAATAAATTAATATTAAAACGCATTATCTTGGGGTATATATGTACTTTCTACTAGATTAAAAATATTCTATTGATCACTATCTCGAGTTTCACGAGATAATTTCTGCTCGTTAGCTAACAAAATGCCTTGCATAACTGAATAGTTTTCTAATGGAAAATTCACCTTTTTGTATTTGTGGTAAGAACACTTATAACGAAGGAGAAGAAATAGCTTATCAATATATCAACAGATGTGATGTTATAATCTAAATTTAACAAGAACAGCATGTGAATTTTAGGTTGAAAATTCATACGAAGTACAAGGGTTTTCTCATACAGCTATAAGCATTTTACTCCTATTCAGAGCATTGTGTTTAAGAAAAATATATTTCTCAACGTGAGTGGCTACAAAAGCAAAGTATAAAACAAATTAAACTCTGAATAAGTAATGCGATTGCATTTAATCTCAATAGACCTAGACTTCGACAGTTTATGTGAAAAAAAAGTAAGCACGTATTCCATTTATTAAATCACGCATGGATAAGAGAAATTTGGAACACAAATTAATAATTATAAGTAAAATTATATTAAAAAATTAGATTATAATTTTTTAATAATAAATGCAATATTTTTTAATTGTCTTTACATAAAGTGCCCATAGCATGTTGATCTACTTTAAATATTATTTTGAGATATATTCTTCGAAGTATGTGTGTATGGAATGGGGTTCCACGAAAACACTTTCTAGTTCTAGGAGTTCTACGAAAGGACCTTCAAGTTCTAGGGGGTCCATGAGGTGAAAAAGTTTAGGAGCCACTGTTCTAGAATGATATTACGTTTATAAAAATTCGAAAATTTCACTCGCTGTGTGAAGTTCGAGTCCTTAATCGATTGTAGAACTCTCATTGAATAATAGGAGCTGAATGAGGGTTATATTAACGTTACACTATAAAGATGCGCAAGGGCTGTTAGCGACGGACCTCGTTATTTCGAATCATGGTCAAGTAACGAGGACGACGCCTGAGCTGACACCCCTTCCCCTCTCCTAACTTCCACACTGCACCGGCCTCCCTACATGGTGGGTCTTCAGTGGCACTAGGCTCAAACTCATGAGACGCTAGTCCCGAGTCCGTGACCTTGACCACTAGGCTATCGCGGCCACACATCCTCGAGTGCCTAGGGCTCATCAAGCAGGTCTTAGCAGACGTTCCCTTGCTGGTGTTAGACTTTCTGAAAGTGTACGATATCATGGACCTGGTCTAGCACTGCCGACCAATGGGGCCGTGCAACAACAACACATTAAAGGGAAGTAAGCCCCTTAGTCCTAAGGGGGAGTTCCTTAGTTAGGAGAGTGAGGTATATATCACCTCATGTATAATCATTCTCACTTGATTATGATTCAAAATTGAGAAGTTTGCCGGAAGTAATCTTCAAGTAACTGTCGAATAATGTTAGTTTTAACCAAATCATTTTTTTTTATTTACACTTATATTTTCGATTACTATAAAAAGATTTCACTGCATGTTTTCATTGATAAAAATAATAAAATATTTTATTCTTTCACATAATTCTGAAAAAAAATGTAGATGTGTGTATGTGTTAAATGATTCGTGAAATCCTTCTCTAGATTAAATACAACAAAATCTATGTATAAATATGACCTTAATTTTCTTCAACGATAGTTCTCCTAATTCCGCTTATATCACAGTGAAGCAAGGGGTCTCAGGGGTGTTAACTTTGTCTCGAGAGCTGAAAATATAAACAATTTTCGATTGAATATAGATCTCTGAAAGTAAAATTAAATAATTCAATTCTTCTACGCATTAGTTATAAAGAAATGAGGTTCCAAAAAGGTGTAAAATGTTTAAAATATAATCATAATTTAAAAAATTATAAGCATATGAAACTAAGAAACATTTCTGTCAGAAATATTAATTAAGTTTTACGTTGCGCATGATATTTTCTAAAATAGTAGCTCTAATTACTAGCGATAAGTTGATCTGTAAGGTTAAATATATATTTCTTACCCCCTGTAGCATTTTTATATAAATAAAAAATATAATTTTTTAAAAAAATTTAATTGTTAATTTTTTTTTTTTTTAAATTTCAATATTTTTTTAATTTTTGAAATAAAAAAGATATATAACACTAAAATTAGGTAAACGCTGTTTTAGAATATATATATATATATATCATGTGCAACAAAAATTTTTACTTAATATTCCTTATAGAAATGCTCCTTATTTTCATTAGCTTATAATATTTTAAATGATGATTATATTTTAACAATTTACAATTTTTTGAGAAACCTCATTCCTATATAAACAATACGTAAAATAATCGAATTGTTTAATTTTCACTTCTAAGAATTAAATAATTCAACTCTTTTACACATTGTTTATATAGGAATGAGGTTTCAAAAAATTGTAAAGTGTTTAAAATATAATCGTTATTTAAAAAATTATAAGCTAATGAAAATAAGAAACATTTCTATAAGGAATATTAAGTAATTCAAATTCAAAATATTGACACTAAATGTCAACTTATGAAAATTTATGTCAATTAATTAATTTACTATGAATAATTTATTAATCATCAAAAGATTTATGTTTTTTCAACGAATAATATTTTATATCTATTTATATCAGTTTTTTATATCTAGTTGAAAATTGCGTGAATTTTCAGCTCTCGAGACAAAATTAACTCCCCTAATTGTCAATGATTTACTGTCAGTGACCTTTCCATATGATGAATTCAGAAATGAGTCAGAAAAAGGAATGTTTTCCTATAAAGAAGTCAATGAGGTGTACTGCACCTTTTAAAATAACAGGATTCATCACAGTTATTTGATTGTGGTTGGAAAAAACCGTTATCCACTCACTTACAGTTAAGCATTGCTCATTCTTGTAAGTAAATGGAAGCTATGAAACGTAAGGTGAACTTACGGTTATATCAACATTCGTTATTTACAAATGCGGAAGACATTTAAGTTTGAAAAGCAAAAAAAAATTAATTAAATACCGATTATTTTCTAGCAATGCTTTCCAGAAATCATCGCAGAATTTGTGTGGGCTTTCTTCTAAGAAACGTTGTTTACTGTAAAAATATTTCCCGACTGAAGTGCGTTATTTGTAATTTATGAATGGAAAAAATTAAGGGGATATTGACATCAAAATAAATTTTTAGAGTTTGAAAAAACTGGAGAGTATGTGCCTCAGAATGATAAATAAAACTTTCACCAAACAATTCAGCTCCTCCTAAGTCTCATATAACCATCTATATTACAAATATGTAATGGAATTTAAGCAAAGTTTTTGTATGAATACAGTTTCACATTCTTCTGTTTTAATGTGGAGCCTTATTACATATGTAATTAAAGACTTACCTCTTGTTTACAGAAGTAGTTAAAGATATGACTCCAGTTTCATTATAATTGAATTTCTTCGATGGTAAAGTCGGAACCTGATTTAACGAACCCCTATTTAACGAATTTCGCGATTTTTTAAACAATTTTTTTAAATTAACAATAGACGGAAGGAAATGGTTATTTTATAAAGTAAAGCAATTTTTAAGTTTATAGTCAATGAAAGGTGATGCCCTTTTTATTTACGATAACATTATATGCCTGTTTTCTTTACATTTTATCAGAGCCTATCCCAGTTTTTTTCTGTTAAAATGTCTTGGATATATAAGGCTCATTTTAAAACAGATTAAAAATATAATTTTCTTTTTGCACTCATTTTGATGTTTACTATAAAAAAATTAAAAAACGTATAACAAGTTTGTGATTTTAAAAACAGTGAAACATTTTTATTTTATTTATAAATTGAATTTTGTTACAACTTTCTCTCCATTTCTTCAGTAAAACTTTTTAAATCCAACAGCTTCTTTTTAATTAAAAATAGATTTAAAGCTTTATTTGTATTTGTAGTTCTGATAGAAAAACTTGATTACATCGATCTGAATAATTCCTTTTTTTCAATTCCTTCTCTTAGTTCATTCTCTCCTTATATATACATATATATATCTTGTTCAAATTTTCGAACTTTAATAAAATACTTTCAAGTTCAAATACATTTTTTATACTCATAGTGGATGACACTTGGTGTTAACACAGTTTTTTCAAATATTGATTCATTAATTAAATAAAAAAATGAATAAATAGTAGCAAACAAAAAATAGTCTAATGGCATATTTAGAAAGGAAAATTGTTCGTTGTGTTCCTGTAGCGCAATGAATAGCGAGTTGGATTTCTGATCCACAAAAGTCGTGGGCTCGAATCCCACCTGGTACGGCCTAATTTCCCTGAATGTGATTTCTTTTTTACTATACAATTTTATTAGAATAATTAAATTTAATTAATGAATAAATAGTAACAAACAAATAGAATAGTCCAACACTATATATAAAAAGGAAAATAGAAAATTGTTCTCTATTTTATCACATAATATTGTGATTCTGTCACATGTATATAAATATTTATATTAATTGTAATCTAATGTATATTATAAATGCGAAAGTTTGTGAGGATGTTTGTAGGTCTTTCACGCAAAAACAACTGAATGGATTTTAATGAAACTTTACAGTAATATAGCTTATACATCAGAATAGCACAATGGATATAATTTATAGCATAGACTATAAATTATAAAGATATTGTATGAAGTGTCCAAAATATAACGATATTTGTCAAGTAAGTAGGAAAAAATTCTGCCATCTGCGAGAAATTCTGGCTTGCGCTGCAAAAAAACGCACGTCAGCATATATTTATCTTTTGTTTGTGAAAGAACTCTTTTTGTTTTGGCTACGCAAGGTGATCGCTTCTAATTAATTCCTCTGATCAGCAAAATACCTATTTTTTTTTATTTCAGAATAAAACTAAGTTCTGAAGAGAGAGGTTGTTAGAAATCTCTCTTTATTTTAATGTTTTTTTATGATTTTATTATGCATATTTGGTAGTAAGAAATTGATCTTTTTTCCAAATAAATGCTTTTATCAGTTCTGATACTTTAAGTAAATAAACTTTCTCTTTCACACTGCATCATTTGGACAAATTTTCAAAATTTGTTTGTGATTAGTAGTTAATTATAACGCTATAATTTTAATTGAATAGGCAGATATAATTATTTTTATACTTAAAAACGCAATAACTACTGTACTGTATTTTTGGAGAGAGAGAGTGATTGAATATTAATGTCACACTGTTCAGCTACACGAGGGCTTTTGGCAACGGATCGCGTAATTTTGAACCATGGTCAAGTTACGTGGACGACACCTGAGCTGGCACCCTCTTCTCCTAACTACCACACCACACCAACTTAGAAGGAATTTTCTACCAATACTAAGCAGGAATATTCTTTGAAATCCATTCATCCAAGATATATGGCAGCACGGGTTCCATGATGAGTATTTTAGCGGAAAAAATAGTTTGTCAAAATTTAAGTGTCTTATGTTTTTATATGTTAATGAAGACCTTAGAAAATGATTTGACTACTTATTTTAAGTGAACGGTACATAAAATTAATTTTACATTGGAATATCATTAATTAATTTATAAGCTCTAACCTATTAAATTTTCCAAAGTGGAGTATTTTGTTTATGTATATCCCTTAATTTAAAATGTAGTGATCCAAAAAAATATTGTATGAAAAAAACTGCAGTAAATCATAATGCGGTTGGATAAAATATTAACGTGTGCATCACACCCCTACACGGCGGGTCTTACAAAGCTCTAATAAAGATCGAGCTACGGAAGTAGCTAGGCATTTGCCAACTTGACTCTATCGTTAACATTTCGCTATGTTTTTCATTGAATCGCCATTATAATTTAAGAAACGGCGTTGCTTGCGAATATTACAATTTTAAAATAAAATAAATACAACAGAAAGTAATATTAATGTATTACACTTTCAGATATAAATTATTTACACTACTTTAAGCGTTCATTACGCAAAACTTTTAACAATGTGTTACTTTTGCTGAGCAGAGATCAGCTTAGGAAGGTATTTTCAAAAATCGACCCTTAAGAGTGTTACGGGGAGTTAAAAATAAAAAAAAATCCTTTTTATCAGATATTAGATCAACATACTTAAAATTTAACAAAGGTGTTTTATTTCTCTCTTTTTTTTGTTTAGCTGAGCTACGCAAAAAGCCTTTTTTGTTTAATTTGCAATTCACGTAAAATTAACTCATTAAAAACTTCTTTATCCTTCAATCTGTGTTGTTTAATTTTTCAGTTCACCCGCGCGAAGAACGGGTATACCAGCTAGTTATTTATTAAAAAATAACTAAAATAAAATTTTCTTCGTTGACCTAAGTAGGAATTGACTTAATTTTTTTATATTACTTGTTTATATAGTAACGTTATATGCCTGTTTTGGATACATTTTGTCTGAACCTTAGTTTTGTTCTGTAAAAAATGTCTTGGAATATATTAGGTTCATTTTAAAACATATTTAAAATATATTTTACCTTTTGCACTCATATATTTTGATATTTATTATAAAAAAAAAAAAAAATATATAACAAGTTTGTTTATTTAAAAACTGCAAAACATTTTTACTATTCATAATCTGAATTTTTTTACGACTTTTTCTCCATTTTTTTTTAGTATTTTTTTTTAAATCCAACGGTCTCCTTTTAAATTAAAAAGAGATTTAATATTTTATTTGTATTTGTAGTTCTGATACAAAACATTTGATCATCGATCTGAATTATTACTTTTTTTTACTCCATAATATACATGAATGCAAATTAAAAGGGCAAATCAAATGAAGCTTGAACCAATCCATTGCTAACATTAAAAAAATTAAAAAATTTAAAGTGAATTAGTTTTTTTTATTTTAAGATCACAGCAAGCAAAAGTTTTTCCCGCATTAAATAGTTTGAGCTAAGACTCTTATACACAAAAAATATTGGAAGGGGGCATGATATTGCATTCCAAGTATCGATTTGTTCTCTGCAACTGAAGCGTGCAAATGTTGATGCTAAATTTGCCTCAAGCTGTTCTCCTTTACGTTGCAAAATTTGAGATCGAAATCGGTCTAAAGAGGTTTGCAGGCTCGATTTTTGGTGCAATTGCTTTATTCTCTTGGGTGCAGGAATTTAAATTGAGAAAACTTTCAAAAACTTGAATTCTTTTACTATCATAATAATTTCTTGCTTTTTTTCTTTCTTTTAGATTTTTAAAAAAGTTTCTCTTGCGATTGAATCGACGATTACAAACTTTACAAAATTAGGTATACCACAGCAAATATAATGCGATTGCCGAATTAAGGGAGGTCTTTTAAAATGCTCTCGGGGGCTTGTAACTTATGGTAGTTAGTTTTTTGCAAAGAAAATTCAACCATAAGCAAAACGTATGTTTTTCTAAATTAATGTATTTATTAAAAAAGTAAAGGTTATTCAAAATCCCTTACCTTGCAAAATTGAACGATTTTTTTCAGTTTTCTAAATCATTTTTTATTATTTTAAAGCCGAAAGATCAATATAATGTTTCAGATACAAAGCTCATAACTCAAAATAGATTATTTAAATAATTCACACATTTCAGTCAAACATCATGAGATATAATACATCGATATTAATTTGAAAAGTAAGTGGTTAAAAACCTGTTAAATATTTTAGAAAAGAATACCAATAATTAATTATTATATTTATATGTTTTAACCTATTTTTCCTAATACTTTTATTTATTCAAGTCCTTCTTTAATGAAAAGCAGTTAAAAAAGAAAACTCAAGGCATTTTGTATTACTTCTGAATGTCTTCGGGCTGTTTACTTTCGGATTTGTAGATGAAGATACATTCAACTGCTTAAGATTATTTTAAAGAAATAAATAGTTTTCTCTCTATATATAAGAAAAGTTTTTCGTGACGCTGTAATAAATTTTTGACTTGGTTAAGCGCCATGATTTTTTTTAAATAAATTTACTCTTGGCAACGAATACTTTAGAATTACATAATACATGTAAATTACAGTTTTACAAGTTGAGCTATAAGTATGAACGGTTGTGTAATCGGGAAGAAGAAGGCTGGTCCGCTGTTTGGAAAACGGGGGTACCTCTCCCCCTCCTCTTGTATTGTATAAAAATATATTGCACACATTCTTTCAAATTTTAGTTACGATTTTTTGTTATTTTTATTTATTTATTTATTTTGAAATTTTTAAGAGAAATTTCAAAACTTCAGTTACCTTTGAAGCATATAATAATAGTAAAAGTCTACATGTTTTCTTTAAAAATAAATTAGACATTACTAGCATTGATATATATCCCCCAAAAAAGAGTAAGAAAAATAAAATCACTTAGAATTTAAAAGTTTTATGTAAAATATATAAATTCCAATAAAAACATGTTTTTTTTGGAAATCGATTCAGTGAATAAAGAAAATTACTTACAGACCTACTAAACCTACAAAAAAAGTACGATAGAAATTCCCCTGTAACTTGAAAATGAATTAGTAAGACTAATTAGCTATTCTAAATAATCAAGTTATGCATAACCTTCTTTGGTTTACATAGTTATTTAATTAGTTATATTAATAGTGAACTACAAAGTATAATTATTCCATTTTAATTACCAATTCTAAGCAAATAAATATATTGTAATTCCTATCATTTTTACTAAGAGGGATTTCAAGAAAGATTTTAATGGTTAGTATATGAACATCAGGATATAAGTTAATTATTATATGAGATTTTGAACATGATTTTAAAAAACTCAATACACACAAAAAAATAGAACCACTTATAACCTTACACGTACAGAATGGAATATGTTTTAAATGTAAAATTAACAAAAGTTACGTGTATAAAAAACAAAAATGAGAATATTAATTTGTTTCAATTAAAAACAATTTTTTTTAAATAATTAGTGTATACGTTTCCTTCATCTTCAAAGCCTACATACATGTGCAAACTAAAGATAAATATTTCCGGGAAAAAATAGAATGATGGAAAAAATGGAAAATGAGGATCTTGAATTATATATATGTTTTTATCTATTTATATATATAAGTGCAATTTAGTAACTATTTAATTATTGTATTTAAGGTGTTGATTGAAACTAAAAAGGCATTACAATCCATTCTTTGGATTTGGCCAAAATTAAATGCATTAACAGTTTCTGTTAAAAGTTTGATGAAGCGAAATTTCTTATATTATAATAAATATCGTTTGATACCTGGATGCATTAATAAAAAAAAAATATTTTTCTAATTGAATGATAGGCATAATTTTAAAAATGAATCTTTTTTCCTCCAATTTTGTTCAAAATTGATTCTGTACTCCTTGGAGT